ATAAAAATGTAAAAAAAGACCATGTTGACATCAGTATGGTCATGTAAACCCTAAGTGCAGTCACGAGAAATTCAAATATGAAGAACTGAAACTCTCTTCTCCTGAGGACAAGGGCCCCCGGAGCCAGCCTGGGTGCAGGACACAGGAGGAGACAGAGAGAGGTGCTGACATGTTTGCAGGAAGATCGGAGCCTTCTGTAAAGGCCAGGGAAGGCGCAGCAAGCTTTCCCTGGTGATTCCAGCACAGAAGGCAAGCGGAAGGGCCCAGGGCCCTCAATCTCCAACGTTTCCCACTAAGCCCTCCACCTCCCCTGGCCCCTTCCCAGGCTCAGAGCTGCAGAACGTAGAGAAGAAAAGTATTTGCCTCCCAATCTCCATAAAATGCTATACGATATCTCCATGCAAAGCTGCTGCCCAAATAAGACTGGTTCTTAGCATCATTAGAAACAAAAAACGGATATTTAAAACAGACAGCCTTCATAAAGGTGACGCAGAAGCTCTTTGCATACTGTCCAGGCATATTAAGTGACAAGAAGCAGGGTTCCCCATAGCACGCTACCATCTGTATAAAAGGGAAGGGGCATTCATCATGAATCTGCTAGCAGATGTATAAAACATCCTGGCTGTGCCTGGAACACCTCTGAAGGGTGAAAAAAAATCAGTAACGCTGGTGCCTCTCAGGAACAAAACTAGTTGGCAGATGCCCTGGCTGGTTTGGCTCAGTGGATAGAGCGTTGGCCTGCGGACTGAAGGGTCCCGGGTTCGATTCTGGTCAAGGGCATATGCCCGGGTTGCGGGCTCGATCCCCAGTGTGGGGCGAGCAGAAGGCAGCCGATCCATGATTCTCTCTTGTCATTGATGTTTCTCTCTCTCTCTCCCTTCCTCTCTAAAACCAATAAAAATATATTATTTAAAAAAAGATCGGAGAATGGGTCCTGTGTAACTGCGTCATCCAACTGGGTCCAGGGCCCAAGCTTCAAAGGCAACAGCAGGTCTGGCCGCCCGTCCACACCAGGCATTTCATAAACAGAAAACGTTTAATATAGAAACACGATGCCCTGGAACCAGGACAACAAAAATAAACGTGCAGATATGAAAGTGATCCCGCACAGCGATAAGACCGGAATGTTGCAAGTAGTAGGTCAGAGCAGAGTTCTGCCACATGGTGTATCATTACTGTTTGAAGTCTCTCTCTTTGCTATGGCTTTTCAAAAAGCCAGGTTTTAGGCAGAAAATAAGACAGGCTCTGACCCTGTCTTCCATGGGACCAAAGAAATGTTATGTGCTCTGGACAAGGGTGGTGGGGAACCCCTATACTCCTTTGGGCCCTGTCAGAGATTACCAGGAGGAAGGCCTAAGTAAAGAATGAAAGAATAACTACAGCTGGTTTGGTTTAGTGGATAGTGTCGGCCCGTGGACTGAAGGGTCCTGGGTTCAATTCCGGTCAAGGGCATGTACCTTGGTTCCAGGTTTCCCGCCCTGGTTGGGGTATGTGCAGGACGCAACCAATCGATGTGTCTCTCTCACATCAATGTTTCTCCCTCTCCCTTCCACTCTTTCTAAAAATCAATGGGAACATACAAAAGGATTTTGTTCATCCTTGAGTGAGGATTAACAAAAAAACAAAACAACTAACAAACAAACAAAAGAATAACAGTAAATGAGAAGCCCTTTCACCAGGACCTTATGAGAAAAGAGAGCCAGAGAGAGAGAAAGGGGTCCATTATTAACACACAAACAATGGAACTAAAGCAATTATTCTAAGATGGCCGAGCTCTGGAATGTCCCAAACGAAAAAACAAATCTCAGAATCAACTCTGAAGAAGGTGCCAACTAATGAACAGTGATCATTTTTGGTTTATTCTAGAACACTCGTAAACACAGAGAAGGGAAAACCAAAGGTGACCAGATTCCTGCAAGAAATAAAGGTGACAGGCATCTCTTAAATAAAAAGGAATTAAATTAGCTGGCAAACATGCCCCGGCTGGTTTGGCTCAGTGAACAGTGTCAGCCTGCAAACTGAAGAGTCCCGGGTTCGAATCCTGCCCGGGTTTCAGGCTGGATCCCCAGTGTGTGTGTAGGGGGGGGAGGGGTTGTGCAGGAGGCACCCAATCAATGATTCTCTCTCATCATTGACGTTCCTATCTCTCTCTCTCTCTCCCTTCCTCTCTGAAATCTATAAAAATCTATTTTTTTTTAATTAGCTGGCAAACAGAGTAGGTATCTATCAAAACTGCAAAGGTGATACAGGAAATGAAGGTGAGACTAAAAAGGAAAGAGAGGCAACTTCCCCAACTAAAACGAGAGGAAAAGATTGTTGTTCCATGGTACTTGCCATCTGGTTTATTTCAAGCTGAAGGAAAGAACAGGAGAAACACAGAAAAACCAGTGAACAAGCTAGCTTAGCGGTACAGACCAGTCACACACTTGTGTGTCTGCCCGGCAAGGCAGGCGCCGCCGCTGCTCGAATGACTAAGTAACTGGTTTAAATGCATCTGACACACGATCCCTGAACTTCCGAAAAGCACTTAATACAGTGGCTCATGAAATCTTAATCTAAAAATGTTCATCCATTTATAATCGAGCTGCATCACACTGACGACTGGGAGGAAGGGCCAAGGAGAGGGAAGAGATATTTGGAAGAATGCGTGGAAATTGCTATCATCGGAGACCAGCCCTTGGAGGGATTTCCCCTCCTTTTTAAAAAGAATAAAACAGATTTGGAGTCTAAAAAAGGAGTGTAAATTACAAGGAAAAAAACTAACAGAGAAAAATGAATGCCCTAATTTCATAAAAGACAGACAAATAAGCAAAATGCAGTGTGACTTGGAAAACCTCACAGATGCTACAATAAAACCTGGAATATGTTTAATGAACTGCAGGGGAGAAGGCAGGGGGAGAAATAAACTCCTGGCTGAAAATAATGGGTGCAGACACGAAGAAAACTGTATGAAAGGGCAACAGAACATTGTATTCAGCAAATCTAGAATGGTTATTATGTGCCAGGCACTATACTAAGTGCTTCAGATATAGTAACTCATGTACCACTCAAAAAACCCTTTTAATTTAAGTACCATTGTTATTCCTGTTTTATAGATGAGCAAACAGAGGCCTGGAGAGGTTAGGTAACTTGCCCAAAGTTACGGCTGGAAAGAAGCAAGGCTAGGATTCAAGTCCAGGCACTATGACACCAAAATCTGTGGTCCTAACCTCTCTGGACTCCCCTAGCATTTAAACAACAAGAGTGAGATAAATAGGCTGGGAGTGAAACAGAAGTCATGAACTTGACGGATCCAAAGTCAACAGAGCACCCTTTACCCATGGCTCTGGGATGACCAGCGACCGCCCCAGGCCTTAGCTTCCTCATCTGTGCATTGAGGAGAAAGATTAGATGAGCTCTATCTAAGCTGTTTTCAGCTCTAAAATGCCACAAGTCCAACCCTAGCCGGTTTGGCTCAGTGGATAGAGCGTCGGCCCACAGATTGAAGGGTCCCGGGTTCGATTCCGGTCAAGGGCACATGCCTTGGTTGCAGGTGCCCCAGCCCTGGTCGGGGTGCGTGCAGGAGGCAACCAATTGATGTGTCTCTCTCACATAGATGTTTCTATCTCTCCCTCTCTCTTCCGCTCTCTCTAAACAACAATGAAAAATATCCTAGGGTGAGGATTAACAAAAAATAAAAAATAAAAAAAATGCCACAAGTCCAAGCTGTATCGAGTGATCTGCTTTCTGACTGGTTATTCAACGGTTAATTCATCCTAAAACAGGCAGCAAGTGGTGTCAAAGTTCCCTGCCTCCTGACCTTCAGGAGATTATTATGTCATCTCATATGACCGAGGGCAGTCAACCGATACTCTATGGTTTCTCTTTTGGACTCTACTTAATGTGGTTTTAACAAAATGGCCCTCAAAACGCTCTGGCCGCAGGTCACATTAACTCTGTCCAACCTACAGGCTCCCCAGATCCTTCTCATGAGCCGGATCAAATCCTGTTAATGGAATGTAGGTGAAACTGACACGCTGAATGAGAGGAATGGGAAGATGAAGAGAGGCAGTCCACAGTTCACATTAAGGAGTCCCATCATGACTAAATAAACCTTGTATTTTTGGTCTAGTCTATTCTCTTTGCTAACTAAACACCCACTCTTGAGAGCTGAGACCACAAAATTCATTATGGGTGAATGCAACATCCCCTTCCCAACTGCCCCAGAAGCACCCTTCCCAGGCTGGCGTGAAAGTCACCCGGAGCGCCTGTGAGTGGAGAAAGGCTTTACAGGTGGGTCACGCAGTCCTCCCGGGCAGTCCTGTCTAAGCATCCCTGACAGGTGGCTGTAACCTGACCTCTGCCCGGACCCTTCCAAGGTCGGGGCGCTGGCGGCCTCCCCTGGCAGGCAGCCACCTGCCCCTGCTGGACAGCTCTCCTTGTGGGAAAGCCCACAAAGCGCCTAGGACAGGGCTCGGAGCCGAGGCGAGCTCCATCAATGCGTCTCCAAGTGGCTCAAAAGCTGCCTTCCGACAACTTGAACCCAGCGGTCCTAGGTGCACCCCTGGAGCCCCGAAAAGCAGAGGCCCCTCGAATACCCGGAGCAACAATCAGGCCCCTTGGCCCTCTCCTTCCAGGTGCGGATCCTGGAGCTCCGTCACCAAGCCCGAGCCGGCATACCCACCCTCCCCGGAGGTCCCCAGAGCGCGCACCGATGGAGCGATGGCCGGCAGGGAGGCTCCAGTCCGGGATGTCCCCAACCTCGGTAGCCGGGGCAGGGGGGACAAAGGGCTTTCAGGAGCGCGTACCCGCTGCGGGCCAAGCAGCCTCCCTCCCCGCCACTTTGCGAATCGGCCCTCGGGACTCCGTGGCGCCAGGTGACAGGCCCCGAAGATCCCGGGCGCGCAGGCAGCGGTGCGATGGGCCGAGCCACGATGAGGACCGCGAGGTTTCAGGGGTTTGACCCGACCGATTCGGGGCGCGATCCCGGCTTAGCGGGGTTGGCTCGGCCCTGGCTTTACCTGTGCGTGGTTGACTACAGCGGCCCAGCTCGTCCCCAATCCGGTTCCTGGCAGCTCCGCGGTGCTCATGGAACAGCAGCCGGAACCCCTGGCCAGTGCAGCTCCCGCGGCTACCGGGCCCGCCCCAGCAACTGCCGCCACGCCCCTGACGACCGCTGCTCCCACGCCCCTAACCACGGAAACCCGCGGCTCATTGGGCGGCTCAGCCGTCGCTCTACAAGCCCCGCGCGCTCATTGCACCCAGGAGACAGCCCATTGGTCAACGGAGCTGCCCCTCAGCGTAAAGGCGGGACCTTAAGGCAAACAATTGGTTACTTTTGACGTCTCTGGCCCGTGGGCCAAGCCCTGATTGGGTAAGGCCAGCCCGGAGGGGGCGGGAAGAGGGAGAAGGGCTAAAACACGGGTCGCGTTTGATGTTGCTGGGGGCGGGTGCAGAGAGGGAGGCAATTGTGATCTCCAGCTGGTTAGGGAGGACTCTGAAGGGTCTGGTGTCATCAAGGGTTGGGAGGAGAGGAGGGAGACCATCTGGTAGCTCAGCTGCGGGAGCTGATGGCTCCAGGCCGAACGACTGACTCACCTGTAGCCCAGGACACAGGGGGTGGAATAGGGGGGGCCGGTCAGGGGGTAGAGGAGGGAGGAAAGTGAGTGCCCAAACCGCAAGAAGAGGGAAGGATGTGGGGGCAGCCGCCTCAGCCCCTTCCTGCTAGGGAAGCTGGGCAACTGAGTAGGTCCCGCTGTCCTTGCAGCCCTTAAGACCACCCTCGACCCTCGCTGAGTCGGAGGCTGCCAGAAAGAACGTAGGCTTTGGAGTCGAACCTAGAATTGAGCCGCTGTTGCATAGCCTTGAGCTAGTCACTTGAACCTCTGTGCACGCACCCTGATTTCATCTGGCAACCGGGAGTGACAATAGCAGTTAATAAGATGAAATAACGCAGAGGTAAACAGTAACATGCCTGGCTCCGCAGGCATTCGGTCCACACTGGTTCCCCACCCACTCACCCCCAGAGGTCTAGGGAACTCAGCCCAGTGCTAAAATTCTATGAGCCTGAAAACAGCTTCTACAATGGCATGTGCTTTACCAAGAATAGAACACTTGACTGACTTGAAATGCAACTCCCGACAGCACCACCCTACCAGGGGACAATAGGGCTGGAAAAGATGGGAGGAGCTATTTAGCCAGAGAAGGGAAGTGGTATTTGTAGCAATGTTAATTTTTCCCCAACATATTTTAGAATTATGACAAGGATAAATGGAGCTTTCTATATCCTGTTCACCCATCCAAGTGTCCCATGGCTCAGATTTCAATAACCCTTAGAAGGCTGATCAGCCCTGGACCAGAACTCACTGCATAAAAATCTATCAGCCAGGGACTTCTGAAGCCATGCCCATTCTAAAGGTGTGAAAGTCCTGAACAGAAACAGTCTCTCAGGCCTGAATTTAGCCCCAGACCCCCTAGGTCTGCCTTTGAGAGAACCCAAGCCATGGTGTTCCAGGATGAAAGAGGAGAGAGAATCCTTTGCCATTGCTCTACTTTTCATCCAGTTGTCATGTTTACCTAAAAAAAGTTCACCTCAGCATTTATTTATTCCATCTTGGGAAGGAAAAATCCAGGCTTCCATAGCAAAGGATTTCAGTGAGGGACCCCTCTAGTTCTGACTCTGTGTTAAAGCAATTTGGGGTTCCAGAAAAGAGCCTTAGATCTGTTTGCCAGTTGGATGTGTGTGTGTGTGTGTGTGTGTGTGTGTGTACCGCGCACTTGGTTCTGCTCCACTGTTTTCTAGTTCTGTGTCTTTAAATAGTTCTGCTTGGTGGCCACACATATGTCTGCACACGTGCTGGGGAAACAGGCCTGGCCCAAAACAGGGTTGCCTCTGCTTCTGTTGGCAAAAGGAGACTGAGATGTCTTGTTTGGTCGTGAAAGGATGGAAGTGGGCTCCTGAGATCTGGGAAGATTTCTCCAGCTTGATTCAAAGCCACAGAAAGCAGCTGTGAGGAGTAAACCCCAGATGGACTTACCAGGGTGCGGACTGACCTTTTCCCCCCAGGTCAGGAACATAGGTTCGGCCAGCATTGCCAGAAAGGGACGGGTCCACCCAGTTCAGGAATTCTAAACCACGATAGCGTCACAGAGGCTGAAAAAGAAACACAGAATGAGCCCAGGCCGAGGAAGAAGAAGGAAAGGACACACGCATCTTCTCCTTTGCAGCCCCCGCTGGCTTCAGTAACGACCCATTACCCCCTGCAGCACTTAGAACTGCTTTCTTATTTGTCCATGGGGTCTATTTCCTCCGCTCTGCTTGGGCTCTTGCCATATTCTGTTGAATCGTATTATTTCATTCCGTAAAGTTTTTCCTTGGGAGGCCATTTAAGAGACAGAATGGACTCGTTTTTGCCTTCCAGTTTGTGAGGCTTGGCCTGGGATGACTAGGAGTTAGGATGAGGCTGTGAAGTGCTCTTCTGAAAGCATGTGAGTGCCCTGTTATAAAGACAACAAGGGGATTGACTAAAGTGGAACTGGCTCTCCACTCTCCTGGGGCCTCTCAGCAGGATTTCCCAGCCCTTTGGAAAGTCCTCGAGTTCCCAGGGGAGGCAGCAGGCAGCAGTGGCCGCAGCAGGTGGTGTGCTCTGTTTATTCTCTTTATGCAAAATCAGTGATTGCTTTTTCTGTATCCTTAAGGGATGGTTGAGAGCAACCAGCTCTGGCGCCTCTGCTGTTGGGCTAGCTAGAATCCTGCCTCCGCCCTTCCCAGCCTTGTGATTTGGGGCAAGTGCTCACCTCTCTGTGCCCCACGTTCCTCTGTAAAATTCGGATGATGGGGTGCTGTGAGGAGCAAATGAGTTCAAGTGCATCAGACAGAGCCTGGTACACACTTAGTTCTTAGTAAGTCTTTGCCTAGTTATTCCAGGAGCCCACTTAAGACCCTTTCTCTAAGGCACTAACTCATTTTCTAAAGTTTTCATATAGACTTTCTGTTAAAAAGTTTTAGATTAACAGCAAAATTGGACACAAAGTTCCTATTTACCCATCCCCCCAAAACATGAGGGATTTTTTTGTTGTTGTTAATCCTCACTCGAGGATATTTTTCCATTGATTTTTAGGGAGAGTAGAAGAGAGAGGGAAAGACAGAGTGAAACATCGATGTGAGAGAAACATCGATTGGTTGCCTCCTGCACAAGCCCTGACCGAAGCCTGGGCCGGGGAGGAGCCTACAACCGAGGTACATGCCCTTGACCGGAATCGAACCTGGGACCCTTCAGTCCACAGGCTGATGCTCTATCCACTGAGCCAAATCGGCTAGGGCAGATTTTTTTTTTAAACCAGCAACATCTACCACCTGGACAGAGAAACTTTTCCTTCAGAATATCCTCAGCAAAAGAGGGTTCTAAGGACTGAGATAAGATTTTTGAGCCTGGACCTCATCGACTTAGTCACTGGGAGGGAACTGGGAAAGGATGTGGCTGAGAGAACAGTCTTAGAAGCTGCAGCCTGGATGTTCATGAAATTCCCTTGAAGGCCAGGATGGCACAGGCACTGAGAAATCCAGAATTGTCACTTGATTGCCACAGCCAGTGCTGCCTGTGTGACTAGGCAGTGAGTTCAGAATGCCCGATGCCAGGCCTCCAGGCCAGTCCTATGGATGATGGAGATAAAGTTTGGAAGCTTTAAGTCCCAGCATGCAATGGTTCTATGATGTCTTTAGTTATTGGGAAAGCTTCCTGCTGGCTATTCAAAAACAGTGACAAATAATCCCCTTGGCTATGATTTGCGTTGCTTCCTTAAACCTATGGGTGAAGTTGTCTATAATAAAATCATAAGGTGCTTGCTTTCATGCCCAGGACAGTCTTGGTTTATGCTTTTTGCCTTGGCAAATTTTTAATAGTGTCCCCTTTTTGTTCTCAAATAGTCTCAGAGTTTGGATAAAATATATGGAATATTTATACTTAACACACATAGGATCCAGCACTGAAAAATGCTCATCATCATCATCTCTCTCTCTCTCTCTCTCTCTCTCTCTCTCTCTCTCACACACACATACACACACACACACACACACACACACACACGGTGAAAAGCTGTTCCAGCCTTATAATCAGATACATCCATGCTGTGGGGCTGGTGGTTGGCTATAGATGCCTTCTGAGTCACCACGCATTCCCCTTCCTGACGTCATCCTTAATTACAGTAATAAAAGTTGAGTTCCTCATGCTGTTCACTCAAAAGGAGTCAATAAAACTTGCACATTAAATAAGGGCATCACATACCTTTTCCTGCATAATTTCATGTTACTGAGTTTTTATTTTATTTTATTAATATTTTTATTGATTTCAGAGAGGAAGGGAGAAGGAGAGAGAGATGGAAACATCAATGACGAGAGAGAATCAGTGATCAGCTGCCTCCTGCATGCCCCCAACCAGGGATCGAGCCCACAACCCGGGCATGTGCCCTTGACTGGAATCAAACGCGGGACCCTTCAGTCCATAGGCTGACGCTCTATCCACTGAGCCAAACCAGCGAGGGCCTGAGCTATTATTTTAAAGCTGTTTATGTCGTACCAGAGATCCCTGTATTGTTTTACCATATATTTGAATTAACTAACAAGAGTAAATATATTTACTGCACCAGACATATAATACTAGAGAAGTAAACAGAGCCATAAAGCAAAGTCCCATTCCTGTATAGGACAAAGAGGACATACTGTGAGAGATAACTAAGAGAACTGAACAGTAAGCGATCGAGAGTAATCAGTGTTATGAAGAATTACTCAGAGGACGGAATAATGTTTTCTGATTACGATTCCTGGGGCTGGAATTGGGGTGGGGCTGGCACGGCCGTCCAGGGGGTAGGACCCCAGGAACACAGGCTCCAAGTGGAAGAACACAAGCTGGTTTGTTCAGAGTAGAGTCCAAGGGCAGACTCAGTAGGAGAGAAGATGGGAAGGCAGCCAGGGCAGTGACAGAGGCCAGTTAATGCTCCTTAAGTCAATGGCTTCCTCTTACCTATTTGGCTATCCTAGCACAGTGCACAGCAGGCTCCGGGCGTCCTCAACTCCAGAATTTTGACCCTAACTCTTTACTACCTTCTTGTTACGGTCACGTGCTTCTTAATGATGTGTTCTGAGAA